TTTTCTTTCTCCTGCCTTTCTTTACCCCTCATCCCTCCTAAGTTCCACTTTCTTTTGAGCAATTTCTTAGTATTTAACAATACCTATTATACTTTTTGGTCCTCATGTACCATTTTGGTTTCTCATACCCAAGAAACTCTGCAATATTTACATGTGTGTCAAATTTATGGTGCATCTCAGGGTAATGTGTTTATCTAGAAATGTGTCTTAGTTACTTTTCACTCATTGCATGTTATCTCTTCTTGTTGTAGTTTTCCCGTAACAGGTATATAGTTACCTTCTTTGTGCCTTTGATTAGCCTTGGCTTGAAGTTCACATTTTCTGAAAATAACATGGCTAACCCTGCCTTTTTCTAGGTTCCTGTCACATGGAGCATTATTTTCCATTCTTTGAATTTCAGTCCATGATTTTCTTTTTTTCCCTTTATATTTTTTATACAGAATCACACTATGCAGTTCAAGTAGGCATTGCGCTTACTCTGTAGTCCAGCTTGTTTCAAACTTCCAATGACCATCTTGCCTTAGCCTCCCAAGTGCTGGGATTACATGAGTTTCTTTTTGAGTTAAATGTGTTTCTTATATGCAGCATACTGTTGGCTTTTGCTTCTTGATCCATTCTGCCTGTGTTTCATTTGACTAGCAAATGGAGACCATTAACATTGATTCGTATAACTGATCTATATTGGCTTATCTTTCTCATATTATTTTCCTATTGTTATTTTCCTAGCTGTGCGTGGTGGCACACTTGCAATCCTAGCACTTGGGAGGCTGAAGCAGAAGGATCACCATGAGTTCAAAGCCAGCTTCGGCTACATACTAAGACCCTGTCTCAAAAAATAAATACATTTAATTAGTTAATTATTTAATGAAAATGATCAGTAAATACACTAACACAAAGCTAGTCAAGATGAATAAAATGGGGCCGGGGAGATGGCTCAGTGGAATAAGCCCTTCCCTGGCAAGTGCAAGGGCCTGAGTTCAAGCTCCGTTTCCACCAAAAACAAAAAGATGCATAAAATGATACAAAACACAAATGGCTAGTTTAGCAAAGAATTAGAGTCTATGAAAAGGTACCAAACAGAAATTGAGAATTAAAATTTTATTGAGAGTGTGAGTCACAGAAACAACTATTTTGAGAGTTCCACAACTAGAAGATAGTGCCATTGGAAGAGACCAAATGTTGAGAGACACCTGAACGACAAGAGACCATGATAAATGTATTCAACAGATGCTTGATCATGCAAATAGAACTAAGAGTAATTGCAATTAGTGCAAAATCAAAAGAAAGCACAAATGGCATAAAAACCTGTTTACAGAAATAAAAGCAGAAAACTTTCCAAACCAGGAAAGAATCAAATACACAAGTAAGTGAGGCATATAGAACCCTAAATAACTGTAATAAAAAGAATTTCTCCACATTTCATAGTTAAAATTCCAAAAGTCCAACACAGGGACCGAATAGTAAAAGCTGCTGGAAAAAAGCAACAAATCACTTATGAAATTAAATTCACTAAAATTACAGCAGACTTCTTAACATAAAATGTTAAAGGTGAGGAGAGGTTTTAGCAAAGTGTTTTAAGACCAAAACACAGCCTTCCAGCCCAAACTGATATATCTTGCAGAGCTATCTTTCAAACTTGGTGGAGAAATAAGGCATTTCCATGACAAAGAGCATGCTAAGAAATTCATGACCACCAAACCAGCACTCCAAAAAAGAAAATCAGGAACAGGAACAAAATGTAATGACAGTAGTAAGTCAACACTTTTCAGTAGTAACTCCTAATGTGAATGGTTTCCATCCCCAATCAAAAGACACAGATTGACACAATGGATCAAGAAATAAAACTCAACAATACGATATATTCAAAAAATTCATTTAACCCTAAAATAAATCCATAGACTAAAAATCAAACTATCAAAAACAATATTTCATGTAATGGGAACTTGAAAATAAACAAGAGTAGCTATCTTATTTTCAGAGAATAGCTTGGACTTCAAGCTAATACCACCAGAAGAGGCAAGGGTCACTACATACTGATTAAGGGAACAATTCATTAGGAAGTGATAACAATTATAAATATACATACAACAAACACCTGTGTACCCAAATTCATAAAACAAACACTACTGCACATAATTGATTAGATAAATAACAACACAACTATAATGGAGAAACTCAACATCATACTGTCACAAATAGATCAACTACACAAAAATCAAAGAAGTATCAAGTTGATCCAAACTTTCAAACAAAAGGACTTAATAGATATCTACAGACTGTACCACAAAACAACAGCAGAATGCACATTGTTCTCAATATCACATGAGACTTTTTCCAAAATACACTACATACTAAGCAATAAGGGAAGCTTAAATAAATGCAAAAAAATCACAATTATCCCCTTCATACTATCAGATGATAGTGCAATGAAACTAGAAATTAATAGCAAAATAAACCACAGACATTATGCAAATGCATGGAAATGAAGCAAAACTCTCTTTAATAATCAGTGGGTCACAGAAGAAACCAAAGAAGAAAGTACTTCATATAATCAACTGATAATGTTAGTACAACATATCAGAATTTATAGAACACAAAGAAAGTAGTCCTGAGAGAAGTTTATAGCTGTGAATTACCACATCAGAAAAGCAAAGCAGGCCCAAATAACAAACTTAATAATGCACCTTGAGGTTCTTTAAAAAACAAGAATAATCCAAATCCAAAGCTAGTACAAGGAAGGAAATTATAGATATCAGAGCAAAAAGTAATGAAATTGAGAGTAAAAAAATACAAGAATCACTGAATCAAAGAGCTTGTTCTTTGAAAGAACAAAAAAAGACTCAAACCCTTAGCCAATCTTACTAAAATAAGAAAAAAAGATCCCAATCAATGCAATTAGAAATGAAAATGATGAAATCACAGTAGACACCAGTGAAATACAAAAGATTAGTAATAACTACTTTGAGAAATTGTATTACAGTAAATTTGAGAATTCAGAAGAAATAGATAGATTCCTTAATATATATGAATTAACAAAACTTAACCAAGAAGATATGAAAAACCCATATAACCCAATAGGTAATGAAATTGAGATAATAATTTTTAAAAACTACCAATAAATAAAAGCCCAGGACCCACTGAGTTGACCTCTGATTCTACAAGAATTTTAAGGACGCCCTAATGCTCATAGTCTTCAAACTCTTCAAGAGGAGTACTCCCAGTCATTCCTAGAAGCTAGTATTACTGGATTTCAAAACCAAAAATGGATCCAACCAGAAAAGAGAACCACAGGCCAATATCTTTAATAAACACTGGTGCAAAAATATTCAGTGAGATACTGGGAAACAAATGCAACAAATCATCAAAAAGATCACATAACATGACCAGGTAGGCTTTATCCCAGGGATGCAGGAATATTTCAACATACCCAAATCAGTAAATGTAATACACAACATAAACAGAAGCAAGGAAAAAGATCATATAATCATCTCAATAATCACAGAAAAGGCCTTTGAAAAAATCCAACATCCACACATACCTGTAATACCAGCACTTACAAGGCTAAGGCAGGCAGATCACAAGGCCAGCCTGGGCTACAAGGCCAATCTGAACTACAAAGTGAGACCCTGTTTCAAAAATACCAAAAAAAAAAAACCTTCTTCGCTAATGATGGAAATATAAACTCATGCAACCATTATGAAAATCAGTATGAAGTTTCCTCAAAAAAAAATAGAAATTCCACTTCACTGACCTAGTTCCCTAGGTTAAAGGGTCAAAGTCATCAGACTACAGTGATAAATACATACCCATGTATGTAGCCACATAGTTCATAATAGCTAAATCTTTGAAGCAGCCCATATGTCCATTAA